ATTTTGACATTTGCAATTGATAATTTGACAAATGTAAACAATAAAATAAATTTTTTACAGTTTCATGCGGATGAAGCCGCATGGGAACAACTAGTTTATATTAATATTAAAAAGAGGAAAGATTTTTTTCTGGATGTATTGAAATCGCTAAAAAGCTATTGGGCAGATTTTAAGAATTCTTCCAACGTCAGAAAGCTAATTTATCTGTGAGTAGCATAGGCTATATTTTTTATTACTTTTTTAATTTCACGCGATAGTAGTCGCGAGCAACAGCTAGTATCCGATATTTCGCAAGCTTATAATCGATGTTTAGACATAATCGATCAAAAAACAAGTAACAGTTATACCGCCACCGTATCTGACCGATACAGAATCGATATTTCGTAATCACCATCAATTAAGTTTGAGTTCGTCGGGGAAAAATCAATTTGTGGTATTTCTCGGTTGCATTATATCTGCTTGGTTTTTACCCTAGTAATGATAGCGATTTAAATTATTTCTCTTAATTTTATACGCTGTTTTTTATAACTTCAAATCCGTTATTCATTTGTTTTCAATTATTAATTCGGTAGGCTAAAATAATCATCGAATTACAATTTTTGCGGTACGATGTAATATTTTTAACGGTGTTTACTCGTATAATTGAAGGAAATATTTCTGTAATGTTCTGTATATGTTAAAAAAGCTTCATTTGTTATAAAGTTGACAAGCCAGAATTGTTTTATTTTGCATGATAAAAATTTGTTTCACTTCAAATACGTCTGCTCTCTAAGGATAACTGATTACTACTGAGTGAACATTACCCCCTCCACTTCAATTCGAAACTACCCACGCATTTGTCATTGAGTTCAATAGACAATATATGTTATTTTTATTACATTTATTAAAATAATTGTAAATCTATCCTTTAGTAGACAGATTGAATAGAAATTGAATTTTAGTAAATCAATTATTCAATAATAGTTATACCGAGATTTTGTATCAAAGGCATATTTACTACATCAGAAGGCAAGAGTCCTAAAATTATCTCTGAATATAATTGGCTATGTTTGCAACACTAGGACTTGTGTAACATTAATAATGCCTTATCCTGCAAAATTTAGTTACGAACAATAGTAGAGCCTTTTTGGGAGGACTAGTTATGCAACTAGTCTAGTGAATGCAAATTCAGATTTAATTGTGTATTTTAATATCGGTATTGACTAACAATTAGTTCATCGTTTATAGACATAAAAGATATTTCTACCTTTGCTTAATACTAGCTGTTGCTAGCGACTTCGTCCACGTGAAATTAAAAGATATAGCCTATGTTACTCACCGATAACGTAGCTTTTTAAAGGTGCATTTTTTTTTAAATCGGCTCAATCGTTTTTGAGTTTTTTGTACACATACATGAATACACATCTTTCCTCTTTTTAATGTTAGTATAGATTCATCATTGACGTACATGAAGGTTTTATATATTTACTAATGGAACCAACCAAAGCAGAGCTACTGTCACAGCGCTGGATATCTTTGTTTGACTATACTTAGTACTGTATTCAAAAGAACGTTTAAAAATTACGATGTGAACTTTTTTGTACACTGTACAGGAATGCTATATTAAGTAATTCAAGTTAGTAACTTAATCAAAGACATCCAAACCAATTTATAATCGAGATAAGTGAGCGTTTATTATTGTAAAACCAATTTTCAGTACATTAAAATTATCTTTAACAGAAAATAAGTACTATTTTCTGCGATTTGTTAATTTATTTGCTGTCCTTACAATCTGGATCTAGTATTTAGGTTATATCCTAACTTGGTATCGCTGGAGGCTTGACGATACCATAACGGATGTCGTTTTACGGATTCAAATTTATGACTTTCCATTAAATTTAACTGCCCATGTTGCTGACGAATCTTTGACTATTAGAAGACAGAACCTGTTACTTGCGCGACCCTTTTTTAAGGGACCAATAATAAGATTTAGAGCCTGTACCACCAAATTGTAAAGTGTCTGTTAACAATCCAACGTCTAAAATATGCGATGGAAATATAAAATTTTGTCCCCTTATCCTACAGTGACGTAATTTAAAAGCTATCTAAGCATCTATCAGCCAGTGGTGGGACAGGCCCTAATTCCAATTAATTGTTTTTATTGTTGCTTAGATGCTTGTTTTTGTGTGAAGAAAAATTTAGTGAAACTATTTGTAAATTCTTTGTAAGCTATTCTGAGTAAAAGGCTTTTTAATTTCATTTTATGCGTTCATAAAAATGTTTTTATTTTACATGTCAGAATAATTAGCACATGTTTCATTGACATTACCTCATGAAAGAAAACGTATTTAGTACAACGTTGTACTTTCTACCTAGTCCATTTCTCTATAGTCCAAGACATGAACGAACCAGTTCATTCAATTGAGTTTTGCTCCATTTTATTCGATAGGCCTTTTATTCTTTTATTTAATGTTTCTTTAGAAGTCATTCTCGTACATTTTGTCGCTGTTTATCAGTAAAGTCCACTGTAGTTGTATTGCCGTCACTGTCATTCTCTTTAAAAAAAGAGAGATAACAAAAACGTTCTTAGGATAGTAGACATTGACGATGCTTAAAACATCTTCATTGTTTACAATTGAAAGATTGAAAAGGAAAAAAAAGCTCGTAAACCAGATGATATTTTTCTTAACATTTGAATTGATTTAATCATACTAATATTATAAATGAGGAAGTTTAGATGGATGGATGGATAGATGGATGTTTGTTAGAGTTTGGAGTCTAAACGGCTGAATGGATTTCGACGAAATTTGGTATAGATGTAGAGGGTAGTCTGGAAGAACACATAGGCTACTCACTTTTGTTTTTTTTTTAATTCCACGCGGACGGAGTCGCGGGCGAAAGCTAGTTTAAAATAAAGTCGTTTGATTTAAAGTTTGTTAATTTAAAAAAATCTTGTGAGTGATGTCTACACCTGTCATTTTCTGCGGTTTTTTTTTCATTTTTTATCTACAGTATATTTAATGTTGGTCTGCTCATTCAATTGCAAATGTCAAAATGACATGACATGATGACAAACCATGGCAACCTTGCTTCCTTGATGTTGGCAGCAACTTATGGTCTCTTTCCCACATTAGCGTTTTTATTCAAAATATTTACCCGCAAAGTTTAAAGGCTGTGAAAACATAAAGCTTGACTTAAATGTAGAGCTTTTTTTAAAAAAAAAATATTTAAAAATATGCTTTAATTGCAATTTAATCTTAGGCAACAAAGAAGAGTGTGTTTACGTTTTATTATAATAGTATAGATTCTATTATCATCCAACTAAAAATGCATTAAGGTCTTAAAAAGCTCAAGTTTCAAAAGATAAATCTTGTCACGAAGAAGTATCCATTCACCTGTCGACTGGTTCACAGCGTTATCCAATTATTCCAACGTCAACGGAACTAAAATATTTAACCGTAGTTTAATTAATCGTTAAGTCACGACCATTTAAACCTATCTTCCACTAAGAGTAAAACCGCGCGACTGCATATAGATGCAGTTCGTAATACCAGTGGTATCCAGGTCATAGAAATAGCGACTGATTGCGTAGTGAAAAGTGTGTCCAATACTTCCTGGCAACACTCGTTATCTCTGATTTCACACCGATTCAAAATGGCCGCCGATTGAAATGTCACTTTGAGTTGAATTAATTAAAGTTGTCAATTACTACTGTTCTCTTGTACATATTAATTTTGTTGTTCAAACACCTTGTGTGCATTGAATAGTTAATAAATGAAACTCGTAAATTTTGTACAGTTTAATACTGTTTGTAAAGCTACAAGCTTTTGCCCGCAACTCCGTGCGCGCGGAATTAATAAACACTTGTAGCTTATATGTTAAAGACTGTATTACATCTGTGCATTCGTAGTGATCTATTGAGCTGTTCCGGAGACCGTCTAACAAACATCCGTTCATCCAAATTTTAGCATTTATATTACGTTAGTAAGATAGTATTATTGTCAACTCGAGTCCGGACTGACAACTAGTGTCGGCAAATGTAAAGTTTTGTATAGGTTGGGTAATTTTCCTGTGAATAATCATACTAATGTTATAAATGCGAAAGTTTAGATGGATCTTTGTTAGTTATAGCCTAAACGGCTGAAGGGATTTCGATGAAATTTGGTACAGATGTAGAGGATAGTCTGGAAGAACATATAGGCTACTCACTTTTGTTTTTAGTATTACCCTGCGGACGGAGTCCGGGCGAAAGCTAGTTTGCTATAACTGCATGTCCCATTCATTTAATGAAATAGTAAAGATGCACATTTGTACATAAAATGCCATTTTTAAATACGGAAAGATAATAAACCCATTAATTACTGTATTTAATATAGCGTATTAAATGTGAACCTAAATACACAAGAAATCGTTTAAATAATTTAATATTGCATAAAATACCAGGTTTTATATGTTATTATACAATTTAACGACATAGAATACAGTTAACACGTTTACTACGGCAATAAAATCATAATTCTTCATCTGGTGCGTCGGCGGGCCTAAATGGGCCCCCAATGATATTTCCGCTAGTTCGTGGCAGGTCTTTCTAGACCCACCAGCACTAAAATCGATTAAATTGCTACAACTTTGTGGAAACATAATGTAACACTTGAGATAATCGTTTCACAATAGCGAGAGGGACAGTTTTCTTTATCCACACTTGCTTAATCACCGCGTCAGGCCGATATCGGCCTGTTACGCAGTGAGCGTCTAAGAATAGAATAAAATCATGTCATAAAACTTTAGTCTATTGAATTACTTGTGAAAAAAATATTCAAAGAGAAGAAAGGTCATACAGATTATAAAATAAAATTAAAAAAAATCAGAAATGCAGTGTTTTAAATTATATTTCTATCATAGTATCAAACGGAATTAAATTTTATTCATGATAAGAGGTTTTTAATGTATTGTAATTATTTGAAGTACATATTCGTTTCTCTGTGTACCAAAATGATAATGTTTTTAATTTTTTTTCACAGATAACTCTTCCTAGAGCCATCAAATATGAGATGATTCGACAGTAACGTTAAGAGGTAAGTAAATAATTTATACTAAGAGCGTGCGCACACTTCAAACTAAAATATCTCATAACTGTTTAGTCTTGTTTTGATTCCTATCAGCTTATATGGAGGTGCGCACACTACTCGATTTTTAGTTGTGCAACTAAACAGTTGAATGGCTATTAAACAATTGACAATCGACAACCGCACAACAGTTCTGCGATAGTTTATCCAAATGTGTGCGCTATAATTACCCCAGTTATTGTCTAAAATCAAGTAAAATAACATATAAGTAACTACTGTTTCAATATTGATTGATAAGTTAATTGAAAACTTTAAGCATAATTTTTAAGTTGTCGATGGTCAGGTCCTAAATAACAAGTTTACTAGTGAGGTAGGGCCGACAAAAACTGGTCGTATGGTTAAGAGAAGGCTGCATGTTGAATAAAACTTAACACGAAACCGAATGTTAAAAATGTTATAATTATTAAAAATAATCTTCACAATCGTTTAAGTAATAGAGTAATGTTATTAAAATAATAATGTTATAGTAGGTTTACATTGAAACATTAGTACTAAAGGCCGATTTACATTACTCCAATCCAGATATCGAAAACAGCTGGAAATGCATTACAGTGTATTGTAGTGTAAATTCAGCCCGTCATCATCTCTCCATCTTACTTTTTACTTTAAATAAATGCGAAAATTTAGATATATGGATGATTGTTAGAGTTTGTAGCCTAAACGGCTGAACGGATCTAGATGAAATTTGGCATAGATGTAGACAATAATCTTTAAGAACACATAGGCTATTCACTTTTGTTTTTTTTTAATTCTAGCTATTTAATTAAAAAAACGGACATATGCTTTTTTACGGTATATTTTATTAGAAACAAACGGTAAAACTATAGTATTTGCTAAAGGTTTTAATATATTTGAAGTAAGATCACGGTAAATTAATTTATTTTCTTTTACCTGTTTTTGTGACTTTAAGCTTTTAACATATTTTAAAACTATATAAGGCAATATATGTGAACTCATTCGTATGTCCGTTTACAAGAAATATTGCGTCAAAGTTTAAATTGCGAAGAATTTAGGACAAGCTATATGTAGTTCCAAGGATCACATTAATGTTTGAAGGAAGTTATAGATTTACATTTGTTTACCTTGCCACCATTAAAAGCCAAGTTCTACCATCATCATCAGCTCACTATACGTCCCACTGAGAGGCTCGGAGTCTATCCTAGGGTGACCAGGTTTTAGCTAACCACGCTGGCGCTGCGGGTTGACTTCACACATATCTTTGAATTTCTTTACCGATATGTGCAGGTTGCATATTTTCCTTCACCGTAAGTACGTCGGGTAAATTATGTACATCTGAAATTCGAAAGATTGAAAATCACATTGGCACGTCACGAGTTTCGAAACCCAGGATCTGTGAAGTCAAGTGCTCAAACCCCTGAATCACCGACCCTCTTGTGGTATGCTATACTGTAGCTGTATTTGATTTTAAATTACAAAACATTATACAGTATGTTCTAAAATAAATTAAAGGATTAAGTTCTACTTATAAGGCAGTCGACTATCCGCTATTTCGCTTACTGATTAGTTCGTGATTTATTTATGGGCTCCAATGCATGTCAGCGATTGCGTTGAAAACGTATTCATTTCTAACTCACTCAGTATACGTCTATTATGCTTACAATAAAGACACTTAATAAAAGCAGTGAACAAAATTTTTCACCGGTACTTTTTTTGAAAGATACTATATCGGTTGTCAAGTTTAGTACCTCGTGTCCTTGTTTATTATAAAACATTTTACAAAACTATAATAAGCGCCATCTTTTGTTATAAAAATAAACTAAAAGTCCAAAAATAAAATACAAACATTAAAATATTATTTAATGACACCTATTGGCAATTAATTTAAATACAATTTATATTTTATATTCTGTGAAGTAAATTTTACGTGTAAAATGAACTCAAAGGTACTCAAACATCCATTTACAACGTATAAATAATAATGTTTTTGTCAAAACTACACCATAAATGTCTATCACAGCGGTAATAAACCTTACTCCAGTGACAGTTGATTTGAATAAATATGAAAACATTGCACAGATACGTAACAAGTCAGCCATAAACGTCTAATATTGTTAAATCTAAATTGTTAATGATCAAAATAACGTTAAATGCAGGCTTTATTTAGCCTTTCAGAATACTTTTTGTAACATGGCTTCAGTTGATTTTTTGACAACTGAAATGTAAAGAACGAAAAGTGGTACGTGGACCTCAAATACAGCAAGAGTTATGTCAAATTCAAAAATGTAATCATTTGATAAAAAATATCAGAGTCAAATTTAAGGTGAAATCTTATCTCAGATTAAACCTAAGATAAATACACATTATAAATTATTTATTAACTAGCTTTCGCACGCTACTCCGTCCTGGTGGAATTAAAAAAAAAACAAAAGTGAGTAGCTTATGTGTTCTTCTAGACTATCCTCTACGTCTATGCCAAATTTCATTAAGATCCGTTCAGCCGTTTAGGCTACAAAACAAACATCCCATCCATCGCTAGAAACTTTCACACTTATAATATTAGTAAGACGTAAGATTTAAAATTATTAGATATTCCAAAACAGACAATAAAATATCTTCAAACACAAAGATAAACGATTTAATTCCCACTTACTGATAGACAGCTTTTGATATAATGTTACCGAAATCGCGTGTCGCCTTGAGTTTCGTTCTCTTGTTCGTAGTAATTGGCTCAATAAACTACGCAGGTGCGACTAATGCCTGGAATTAGAGATATAATGGTAAATTTTAGACCGCGTGCACACCTTTGACAAAACTATCGCACAACTGTTTAGTATGGCTTTGCTTATATCGAGGTGCGACACTTCTCGATTTTGTGGTACAACTAAACAGTTGAATTGGCTGCGAAACAATAGACTATCACCCAACTGTTGTCCGATAGTTTGGTCAAAGGTGTACGCCTGCTCTTACAATTTACAATCTGTTATAGTTTATCTTACTAATATAAATGTGAAAGTTTAGATGGATGGATGTTTGTTAGAGTTTGTAGCCTAAACTGCTGAACGAATGTCGATGAAATTTGGCATAGATGTAGGGGTATAGTCTGGAGGAACAAATATGCTACTTACTATGTTTTTCTGTTAGAATTCCGAATGGAGGGAGTCGTGGGATAAAGCTAGTTTTTGTATCTTTAAATGTTTGTTTTGAAAAAAGCAACACACTGCAACCTTTTAAGGAGTGCGTTAACGCAATGTGGGTGTAGAAGTCATTACTTGTGAGAAATTTCTTAATAAAATTGTTTCAGATTAAAGTTAATGTGTCAAAAAGTATATTAACTTACCTTACTGTTGTTATTTTGGTTTAGTATTATGTTTGACTATTATTTCTCATATCGTTCAAGTTTTTTATTTGGGACCAGCTGTTGCTTGCCTCACGACCGCGTTAAATGAAAATATAGCCTATATTACTCACAGAAAAATCACATTTCTAATAGTGGAAGAATTTTTAAAATCGGCCCAGTAGTTTTTGAGTTATCTCAATATATACAAAAATACAAATCTTTACTCTTTATAATATTAGTATAGAATAAATTGATGACTAATGTAAATGCTTACGGACAGACTAAAAATATTTTACATAACTCTTATTTTAATATTGGCAACACCGACACAATTCTTATATTAATTTTCAATTTTGTGTGCCATAAATTCATGCTAAATAGGGTCAAAAGGGATTAAAAATCGATTTGGATGCGTTGCCTTTTATTGACGTTAGGCTTTTATTTCTCGATGTTTATTTGTTTAAAGGCCATTTGTTATTTACGAAATTATTAACGACTAACTGTTCCCCTGCGACTTCATCCGCATAAAATTATGAAAATTTTATTTTATTGTGTACATGTGTCAAATAATCAATTGCAAATGTCGAAATACCAATCACCTTACTATGGTAATTTTGCTTTCTTGGCAGCAACTTATGGTCTCTTTCCTACGTTAGGGTTTTTATCCAAATATTAACCCCTATGTTTATTGGCGTGTAAATATATAGCCTAAAGCATGACGTAAGTATAGAGCTTTTTATTACAAAAAGAATTTTTCAAAAATATGCTATAATTGCTGACATCTTAGGCAACAAAGAAGTGTGTGTTTACGCTTTATTATAATAGTATAGAAGTATAAATAAATTATCTTCTATCTTGTCTTTAAATTATCGGTCATAAAATGATAAAATCATTTTAATGTGTCAAAATAATCGAGTATTGGTTTTTTAATTATCGATTTTGTTTTTATATTTTGTAAATGTAGTATTATTGATATTTTTCTTAATATAATTGCATTTAGTAAATTTTGTTACCACATGCTGGGTCGGAATTAATTATTTTACCGCGAAAAAACCACAGATTGCATAAAGTTATAGACACGGAGTATTGACATTGTTTGTCATTGTTACAAATAGATGTTTGTAAAATACGGTTAATTTTTTTTATAATCTACTTTATTCATGAACGTCCTTCGCTCTTCACTTAGTAAATGTCAAATACCATAAAGTATGACGGGTCTAAAGCCCGTAACACACGTTCAGTTTTATCTGCACAGTTACATCTTTCAAATAAATGAAACAAAACTGGGGACTTTTCAGTCCTCAGTTTTGCTAACGCATGTCAAATTTATTTTAACGACCCGACTTTTTAGATAAAGCTGACCGTGTGTAGGGAGCTTTAGAGACATCTGCTGTTTGTTTGCAATGAAATAAGGGTGTAAAGGTTACCTATTTATTGACAGATGTTAAGTTAATGAGTTAGTAAGATTCCGTAACCTAAAGTATATTTATGCTGTATTAAAAATGTATTGCCGTCACACTAATTCTCTTAAAAAAAAAACAAAGACAACAATACTTTTGAATAAAAATATTCAAAGCTACTTTATCTTTTACAGTATATTATAATTTGGAAACATGTTAAGGAGATAATTTAGTTTAGTAATTTAAACATA